TATGAATTTTACATATGTCTTTTAAAGATCAAGTATTTTAAACTGTGATTAACATGCTTACTTACAAAGCTAATTAAATTTCCATAAAGAAAATCTTGATTGAAGCTGTATGCAGCTTTAAGGTCAGGGGATACAATATATTGTTATGAAAAACAAAAACTACACAGGTTACTATGTATTTATAAAAAATGTAGTGGTGATATTTTAATGTTTGTAAATAAAAGTGATGTGATGTCATGTTTAGAGTGCTGTATTGAAAGCATAAATAAAGACTGGTAACTGGGTCCACTGCCCTGCTACTGTTCATGAACTCTCTGTGCCAAATGCTTGACACTTCTTGCGCAAGTGGGATTCTTTTTGCCCATTTACATGATAAAGGCAGATCACTCTTGAGGTGGTGAGCAGGGAGGGAGGGAGGGACAGAGGAAAAGAGGTAGGGCTATTGGGTCTGGAGCAAAAAGGAGGCAAGAGACAGAAGGGGGACTTGAACAGAAGCATTACGATCACTGTTTTTTCTTCCCAGTCTGGAGGTCAGAGACACTACTGGACATGGTCTGACACTGAGAAACTGGATGAAGAATCTGGACTGGATTTGGGTTTCGTATGTTTGGATTTGCTCCCATCCAGATGCTGTGCTGTCGTGGAGAATAGAAATTCTACAGTTGACAACAAAGCAATGATGACTTTGGCCAAATTATTTCCAGAATTTTTGAACATCAGCTCTTGAAGAGTTGCACTCTAATATGGTTGTAATGTGTTTTGCCTTTCAATTACTAAAGCTGGATTTTAAATCATGTTTTATTTTAGCCACCAGTGATTGAGTACATGTGGATCCAGTAAAATATATCTTTAGATGAACTGGCTGTTTTTTTAGGAGACAACACTCGCTTAAATATGACTGGAGCCTTATTTACAGGACTCATCTTCTTTTTGCTAGAGGTAATAACCCTTTTATTCTGTATTCCATTGCATGTTAAGACCAAATTTGTAAGCTGCTGTGATCAGTCTTAACATGTTACATAGAACTGTAATAGAGTGAACATTTTTTAAGATACGTTTTCAAAAATAAGGTTCACAGTGTGGGACATTATTTTGCAGACAAATTAAGTAAAATGAACTGGAATTATTTTCATGTAGGTGGTGAGTGATGGTGAACCAACGTATGCTGGACCAGGAAGGGTGGAGGACTTACACGGTGAGACTGTCAATCACTTGTAGTGACCTGTATTGTATACAGGTGAAGGTAAAAAAAAAACATATGGTTTTTTAAGTCCATTTAATTGTATTATTATCTGGTAAATTCTGTTTCAGATTTACAAGGACAGTACAAGCTTGTCCATCTGACATCACACTGGGCCCTTCAGCTGGTCAATGACTCGTTGCCTTTCTCCAGAGCTGACAGCTTCTGTAGAGGTCAGTTCAGCTCCCTCCACACCCTGGACCAGTCAAAGGACCAGGAAGAAGCACTGGAGCTCCTTCAGCAGACTGGACTCCGCTCCCCTGTCTGGGTCAGGAATCCCAGCAGTACAGCCTCTAATTCAGTGGCCCACTCCAGGCAGTGTGAGTAGGATCAGCAGATTTGTATTTTATGACTAAACAACTTGCCAAGAAACAAAATAATAATAAAAACTTTTTTCTCTTTTTGATTAGATATGCAGTTRTCATGTCTAAACTTCCCAAAAGAGTCCCATGAAGGCTTTGCTCATGTCAACGTGACATTTCCTGCCTTATCATCTGTGAGTGTGTGTGTACGAGTTCAATGGGACCCCAAGTGGAATGAGGTGTCCACCATCTTTTCCTATGCTGCACCTGTCTTTACCAATGAGTTTCAGCTGCGAGGCCAAGTGGATGTGCAGGGTCGCATCCTCTTGGCACTTATCATCCACGGAAAGCACCTGCCGTATAAGGCGTCTTTCTCAAACGACGGTGCATGGCATCACATCTGTGTCACATGGCACCGGAGCAGAAATCACTGGGCCATCTACGTTGARGGGGACAGGAGTGACGGGGGGTTAGGTACAGACATTCACAGGGATATATATGGTGATGGTATTCTGATCTTGGGTCAGGACCAAGACTCATTTGGTGGGGATTTTACAGAGCCTTTTTTTGGAAACATCACCGATCTGAATGTTTGGAACATATCTTTGGAAGCAAGACATGTCCGTGCCTTGAATTCCTGTTCACCCGTTAACCTGGAAAAGCTTTTCACTTGGAACCTTCAGCTCATAAGCAGCCATACTGTGGTCAAAAATGTGCAAGCCCTTCTCTTTTGTCCAGGTAAGAGAACAACATTTTACTCCCAAACACCAGAGCATATTAAATACAATCAAAAAMGTGTTCAGTTCACAATTTAGTACATAACTGATGTGTACTTTGTAGTTGTAAGTTATTTTAAACAATTCTGAACAAATAAGACAAAAACAGACTCTAAGCTGGACCACTCAAAGTCTGCTTGACATCTGACATCTAAAATGACCTATTCAGGCTCAGACTGAAATATTAATTAATGGGAAAACCARCTCTACAGAAATCTTTAGACTAGATGTTATTTACATTTACTACAGTATACTGTATATTGCTAATTTATTGTAGGGTTAATGTTTTTGCTGAAATCTCCATGTTTCACTTTGGAAGTAAAAAAAGTAAAAACAAACAAAAATAAATAAATGTTGATGCATTGATTGTTGTGCCTTGTGATGGTAAGATACTGTATGATCCTTAGACTGAGCAGTGTGCCTTGGATTGAGCTTAATGTATTGTCTCATATTACCTTTAACTTGGACAATATTTTCTTCCGTGTTGTCACAGTCTGAGTATCTAATGAACGTTCACATTACTGGGTATTACTGGGTATGTAGATCAGTTTGTTAAATCTGTTGGTGCACATCACCTGGTCAGTCTGCCCCAGAAAACTGACACTGGTTTGACTTTTCTTCTGAAGGACACTGGTGCTSTTAGGGCTGCGTCACATGGCAGGATAATTATGCTYATTTCTGGCCCTTCCAAGAATCTCAAGGCCTTCCAGATTATTAGAATGGCTCTAAAGATAATCTTAGCAGATATTCCTGCTGTGGGTGATGAGTTACYAGTGATCTAGTCGGCTCYGAAAGATATCAAGACCGCGCCGATCTCAAATCGTGGATATTCAACATGTTTGATTTTTTGCCCGATATCAAAGCGTGTGTGGTGTTCACTCAAGAACAAACGAGCTCACAACCTGCTGGATGWGACATGTAGCCAATCAGAAAGCGAGGTGACGTAAACACGGAYGGGATTCTAAAATACAGAAAACATAAAAAGCTGTCATGACACACTTGAAAGTGTGCTGGACATTAAAAGACATTTCGAATAGTTTTTTTTTCTCTATTAAAAATAGTCCCCAAATGATCAACATTGTTTCTTCCTTGTCTCAAATGTTTATTTACTCTGAACTCACYTGTCTCTGGAGGTCACAGATTTTTCCTCTGACATCTAAATTGTCACGAGATTTCAAAAAGTCATGTGATTTCACATCTGACATCTGAATGTTGAATYTTTTGCCTCAGTGACCATCCGAGCCGCAATCRGCTTGTYCTGCCGATACCTATCGGCTGCTTTCGGAGTCCCACAGGCCAAAAASACCRGATAGGACTCCTTCTTCAGCCTGARAGCATCCCTRACRGCCGGTGTCCACCAGCGGGTTRGAGGGTTGCRGCAARGACAGGCACCAACAACCTTACGGCCACAGCTCAGGTAAGCCGCCTCYACAATGGAGGCACGGAACATGGCCCACTCGGACTCAATGTCCCCCACCTCCCCCGGAACATGTTCGAAGTTCCCCCGGAGGTGTGAGTTGAAGCTCAGTCTGACGGGAGACTCTGACAGACGTTCCCAACAGACCCTCACTATATGTTTGGGTCTGCCAGGTCTGACRGGCATCCTCCCCCACCAACGGAGCCAACTCACCACCAGGTAGTGGTCAGTTGACACCTCTGCCCCTCTCTTCACCCGAGTGTTCCACACATGTGGCCGCAGATCAGATGAAGCAACAACAAAGTCGATCATCAAACTGCGACCTAGGGTGTCCTGGTGCCAAGAGCACACATGGACACCCTTATGCTTGAACAAGGTGTTAGTTATGGACAATGCATGAACGCACATAAGTCCAATACAAAACACCGCTCAGGTTATGATCAGGGGGGCCGTTCCTCCCAACCACGCCTCTCCAGGTCTCTGTCATTACCCATGTGAGCGTTGAAGTCCCCCAGCAGAACGAGGGAGTCCCCGTTAGGAGCACTCTCCAGCACCCCCTCCAAGGACTCCAGAAAGTTTGGGTAATCTGAACTGCTGTTAGGTGCATATAGGCACAAACAACAGTCAGGACCCATCCCCCCACCCGTAGGTGGAGGGAGGCTACCCTCTCGTTCACCGGTTGCTGATCTGCTAAAAATGACAGATTTTCTTTCTGGATCTCTCAGAGCAGGACTTCAGTCTCCAAACTCGTGAAATTCTTCTTTTTTAACTTTTAGCTGTTATTTTAATGAATGGCCACTTCCTGGCATGTGGGYCAGGAAGTGTAGTCTTATATGGTGTTTTTGGGCTGGTAATTATGTTAATTTCCTCTATTCAAGCACAGGCAACTGAATACATACAGGTGGCATTCATCATGTTTACYCTGCTCATTTACACACTTTTCCTGATGATAGAYGATMTTGCTGAATCTGARGTGTTCATAAAACCCTTCGTATGAACAAAASTAAGAAAAATTTAGGATACAAATACAAAGATGTCCTTGCATGAAGCCCAATTTTTGTGTTGGTTTATTGCACACAATGGCTAGAGAAGAAAATAACTTGTCTGTTATGAAGGTAATTTTTTTAGTCATTCAATCAAACAAATATACAGTTTCAATCAAAAAAAGTAATTACAATTACAAAAAGTAATTTCAATCAAAAGAATAATAGTTTCAACCAATCAAAAAAATTCAACCAAAYTAGGCACACGTTTTACATAGTTCCTCCTTTGCCACCCCCCCCTCCCCCCCACCCGCTTATGTTCTCTGAGTTCAGAAACTTAGAGCAACAAACAACGATTTGAGATTCAACCAAAGATTTCTGACATGCACGAAAAAGTTTCTGTTTTGTAAAAAACTGATGGAATTTATTTAGTTTGAAATCACTTTTTTGTTTGGTTAAAACTATGTCT